ACATTTTTCAGTGTATGTATTGCGTGCGTTCTTTTGCGCTAAAATCGACAATGATAGCGCATGAGCGGACTCATACTGGGGTGAAGAAATACGCCTGCGAGTCCTGCGATAAAACCTTTGCGTGTCATAACAGTCTTACCGCTCACACAAAGCAAGTTTTAATATTTCTTATATAATTTAATTTATTGTTTATGTTTTATCTATCCTATATGTATTTATTCTTGCTTCATTTTTTAAATATTGAATGCATATTTTCATCTCTATGTTTTCAGTTCTGTGTCTATAAACTTTTATTCTAGACTTTTTTTTATTCTTTATTATTTATATTATACTACTTTTTTTGCACAAGACGTAATAAATATCCAAATTCTTATTAATAAAGACCTATTCCTCATTTCAGATTACACACGAAACCGCACAAGTGCAATATATGCGACAAATCATTTAGCGCAAGCACCATCCTAAAAAATCACATGAAGAGCCACACGCGGGAGAAGCCGAAGATATCGCCGGAGGCGGAAAGTCTAGTGCCGCAAGTGGTACTGCAAGAACCGCTTGTCATTAGCGACGCTGGTAATAAAATCAGCGTAGCACAGGTGCAGTCGAAACAGAAACAATTATACGAAAGTGTCGGCGTAACCAGGCCGCATGAATGTTGGGTTTGTCACGCGGCATTCAGGAAAGTTAGTCACTTGAAGCAACATTTTCGCAGACATACGGGCGAACGTCCTTATAAGTGTCCCAAGTGTGACAGGTTCGATCTGACATTTCTAGTGATCTATGATCAAAAAGTTTCTTCAGCATAAGAACTACGAGTATATAGAAATACAACCAATTTTTTAATCAATCTATTGACTAATTTAAGTTTTAACATATTTGACATTGATCAAAATGTTTATGTCTTCTGGTTTGCAGGAGATTCACATCGAACAGTGTTCTGAAATCTCACTTACATACGCACGACGATACGAGGCCGTATAGTTGTTCTGTATGCGACACGAAATTCTCGACGCAGAGCAGCATGAAGAGGCATTTGGTCACACATAGTAATAAAAGGCCATACATGTGTCCATACTGTCACAAAACGTTTAAGACATATGTCAATTGCCGAAAGCACATGAAGAGGCACAAACACGAGCTGGCACAACGGGTTGGTATATTTAATGTACGCTAGAATGCACTAGAGAGCCTAGGACAGGATAGAGATCCGAGAACCTCTCTATCCTGTAGTCAATCAACAGGTTTGAACAACCTTGTCATATGATAAAAACGCACAAATGTAATTCCACGTTGAAGTAGCTTTCTTTTAAGCTCTCTAGTGTAACGCTACAAAAAGTATTAGAAAGTATTAAAATCTTATATGCGTAAATAGCAATTGGAAGAACAAAAGATGCAAGCTCAGAAGGATTCACAGCCTTCGAGCGAAGCTAAGGAAGCTACATCATCGTTACCGGAGAGCATCACTCTAACCGAAGATATGGAGGTGTCCTTTCAACCACAAATGGCACCAGATTTTACGCAGGCTTTTTCTGATCAGTTTCAAAATATCAACACGGAGAAAGAAAAATCCTTTTTACTACCGGATAATACAACGCCATCGATAGTGAATCGTATGTTTTCCAAAAATTATATATAAAATTCGACAAAAATAATTAAGAAATCGACAATTAATTTATATTCGAAAATTAATTTAGAAATCGACGAGAGTTAAAGCTGAATCTTATATGTATAATTTCAGAAAATTTATCTGTCGACACAACTAATTTAAGAACGTCGCAAACTTTACACGCCGATGAAACTGGTACTATCACGTTACCTAATTACTCAGGGGATCAAACTTTCACGCCGGTACATAAGTTCAATATTCATAAAAGATGCATAAATGTATAGTGTAATGTAAAGAAAGATGCATGAATTTAGAAAAACTTGCAGGAAAGTATACGAGAGATAGAGGAGACTCTAAATCAGCAGTTATTCAACATGGGCATGAATCTCGAGCTGGAAACAAACAATTTGCCGAGGCAGGTGGACGAAGCGAACACAAATTCTCTCGACAATTCTAGAGAACAGCCGGTGCTCAATATTATATATGAACATAACAAATCTCTGGAATCATCAGGCAATACCATATTTATGTCACAATTTGATTCATTTGATATGAACCAAATAACATTGCAGGTAACTGCATTTTCTATGCAGAAGCGATGATTTTATTTATATATATCGATAAAAGCATGTATTTTAATGAAGCACTAATATTTTATAAGCATGAAATTACTAACAATCCATTTTTCAGACGGATAACGATATAGACATTGGTTTAAATCCAAGCAACTCTATGAGTATGTCCAGTATTTTGCCCAGATCCGTGGAAAGTCAACAAGAAAAACAACAAGCTGTTCCAGTTACTACAGCTAGCAATATAGACACTTCTCAAATTACGAGAAATACTCATCTGGTGGTAATAAATCCTAAGGAAAATTGTTCGGAATTAGTGAGACTTTCACAAATATGCCCGTCGAAGTACTCAAAAGTCATCGCAAAAGCGGATACCACAAATGGATCGGAGATGCAAGGCATAAATGGGCATGAAAAGACACCACAAAAAAGTAATGCTAAATCGTGTGAAAACGAAAGAAATTCTTTTATGTAAGTTATTTTTATTTATATGTAAAATCGTTTTACTGTCGGACAATTAAAAGATATGCAATGTTTGTAGGAAGAATTTTCAAAGTACAATGCCATCAAAGACGCTTGTTTCATCTGACATAACGGACAACTCAGCCAAAATATCGCAGTGTAACACTCTGCTGCAATGTCACGTGTGCGGCGATCAAGGTTTTTCGACAGAGAAATTGAAGGTATAAGAAACATTTCATAGATATTCGTACATTAAAACATAAAATTGCGACTACTTCCTAAATTATGTAAAATTAACGTAATTATTACAGGAACATTTGAAATCTCATCGTGGTGACAAAGAGTATGAATGTTCTGAGTGTTCCCAGCGATTCTGCACGAACCGCGGTCTCAGTAAGCACCTGAAGATGCACATGAACAAACAGTAAGTGAATTGATTGACAACAAGAGAGATGTTTCTCAATGAAAGATCATAAATTTTTTCATACAGGCGATGGAAATGCATGATATGTCAAAAAGTATTGGACAGCAAACTGCAAATGAAATATCACAGCAAAATTCATACCGCAACTTGGAATGTTTCGTCCATGGAGCCGGACACTTCTCAGAAGAATATTATTTCCTCGAGTTCCGGTTTAACAACGCTGGATGTCCGAGCAGATTCAAACTCGTCCGTTTCTGAGAAGGTTTTGATGGCCGCAGTCGCCGAGAAAAAAAGCATGGACCGCGCTGATGTAAGTACATGCAAATATTTGCATTGGTTCGCAAAGTCTTGCATTTGTAAAGCGGCTGATAATATTGTTGTAACGTTATTCGATCGTTCAGGAGAATATAGTGAAGAAAGAGATAAGGGAATACACTAATAAATGCAAGTACTGTCCGAAAACTTTCCGTAAACCAAGCGATCTCATCAGGCACATTCGCACGCATACGGGTGAACGACCTTACAAGTGTGATCACTGCAACAAAAGCTTCGCGGTCAAGTGTACTTTGGATTCGCACATGAAAGTTCACACGGGCAAGAAGACATTCTATTGCCATGTCTGCAGCAGCTTGTTCGCTACAAAGGGCAGTTTGAAGGTTCACATGCGATTACATACAGGTAATTCCTAGAATTTTATGTTGTACGCGCAACATCGGGAATAATTACAATATAAGAAGAATTTTACTATTTAAATATTTTATCTTTTAATCCGGAAATAGTCACCTGATTTTTTTACGTAAATAATTACCTGGAACGTTTTTATATCTCAATTAAAATAATTATTATTAACAACATATCGCATATTATTATTGATTGTTTTCCGATTTGAGAACCTTATGAAAATCAATTCAATCATAATTTTTTTAAAAAGTAATTAGAAACAAATATTAATACAGAATAAGTACGTTAAGTAGCTTATTATGATATTATATTATTATATTTCTAAAAAAAAAATTTTATTTAAGCTTTTTTATTGTTGGTTTTCGATGGAATTGCACATCTAAAAGTTCGTAAAGAATAGTTATTAAAAACGAAAGAAATTGTTGAATATTTTAAACTATATCCATATAAAACAATATTTTACAATTCGCATTTTTTCACTGGGATGTAAAACACCTCAGATGACTATTCACGAGTTAAATATTAGAATTATAATTAATATGTTAAATATGAGAATTTTTACTTGAAAGAAAAATGATAATGCATAATTATATACGTCTTAAATCTTTCAGGTTCGAAACCATATAAATGTCTCGTGTGCGATCTTCGATTCCGCACTTCGGGTCATAAGAAGGTACATATGTTGAAGCACGCAAGAGAGCATAAAGGTGGCGCAAAACGTAAGCCGAAACACTTCAAGGTTGCTGCGGTGGCAGAAGCGGCGGCCAGCCTCGAAAAACTCGGCAATAGTTCTCTTGATAATGCGTCAACAACGACGACTACTGCCATAATCAACGATGAAGCCGCGCCGTTGCAGAATCTGAATTATCCCACGTTAGAGCAAACAGTGAATCTTGGTACCGCGGTTCATTTGCCGAATCAAATCGCGTTTAATCATACCGACACCACGACGACAATTCTCAATAACAATTCCATACTGTCTGTAAACGAAAACAACGAACTAGTCGCGAATCTGCAATTCTTGTTAGCAAATGGTCTCGTAACTTTTCAAACGGACGATACCCTGCTGACGCAATCAACGACAAACAGTTCCGATGCTACCGGCGCCGGAATGCCAACTAACATGATCGAGTTAGTTAATCCGGATCCTTTTCAGGAAGCTTGCAACTTGGGTAACGCCAATCACGTGGTAATAACCAGTCAAGTGCCAGCGGAGACGACGACCGCGGATACGAGCAACACGGCAGTTATTCAGATGAACAATTGTATGCCTCCTGTATCTATGGTACAAATTCAGACTCAAGATACAAATAGCGTTGGTGTGTTTGAAGCGAAAACGAGTAATCAAACAACGACAGCAACTATGGCGAAAGCTTCGGCGCAGCCTTCAAGTAAGGAATGCGACGTATGTGGAAAAACGTTCATGAAGCCATATCAAATGGAACGACACAAACGCATTCATACAGGGGAAAAACCGTTCAAGTGCGAGCAGTGCGGCAAGTCGTTTGCGCAAAAATTTACGCTGCATCTGCATCAGCAGCACCACACCGGTGATCGGCCGCACTCTTGTCCGCACTGCAAGCGCCTTTTCACGCAGAAATGCAACTTACAGACACATCTAAAACGCTTCCATCAGACGGTCATGCTCGATGTTAAAAAGTTGAAGAATGGCCAACAGATGCTGGGCACACTTCTACAAGACAATCAAGGCGGCACTACTAAGCTGCTAAACCTAGACGACATACTGGTGGTAGATTTTCTCAAGTAAATGTCTTAAGAGAAGTTCTTTCCTTTTCTTAAGAGAAAATCAACCCTGTGATTTGCAAGCAAATCGCTTGCATGTGTAATATAATGTACTAATTAAAAACGTGCCACAAATGAATTTATCGATGATTAAATATTACGCTTTTAAATGACGATAAAAGATATAGATGAAAGATTTCGAACGTTAAGTAAATCAAAGCTGTGATGAATGTTTCATTTTATATATCTAATGCTGTAACAGATGCTGTACTCGAGGTGTAATTTAATTTTATTTAGTTGATTACTGTTATATTTTGTATCGCCGAGCTACATGTAAAATTGTTGTACGAGAATTTCGTTTTCTTTAGCATCGACACGATTAACATTTATTTTCTTTTATTTAAAATAAAACGCACTGTTACATACTTGTTTGATTCAACATAGATAAGTACATAAAACTTCTCAATATAAAATAACAAAACAAGAGAAACTTAATGCTGGAAGTCACAGTCGATTTCGAGAGCGGGACACCCGTCGGGATGGTTCTTGTAAAACCAACAAGGTTTCACCTTCTTTAAAGGTGTGCTAGCATTCTTCCTCCTCTTTTTCTTCTTGTCAATAATGCCGGGAATTCTAAACTGCACCTTTCCCTGAGCAACGCAGAAGATGTGACTGTGATTCTTCAATAAGGTTTGCAACCCGCCGCACTCGTTTCGTAGCTGTTGCAGTATCCCAGGCGCGATCAGCTTCGCCATCTCACCGATGCCGATCTGTCCGCCGGCGTTCCACGTTTTACCAGGTTTCCGTTCCAACGGTATTCTGCGATTCACGCGAAGGAGATGTGCCACAACTATATTGACTATCTCAAGGATTAGTCCTTTATCCAATTGTGTACAATTCCGTGTTTGTTCTGTCGAGTCCCTCGGTTTGAAACTCGCGGACCACAGTTCGCTGTTTCCCGCGTCAGTTCTTACACTCTTCACCTGGGACCTCGCATTTATAATCCTCTGAATATCGGCATCCAGCGCCGCGATATTCTCCTTTGTGTAAGTTCTCTTCCATCCGACGAAACAAGTCCGCTTGGTCGATGGGATTCGCAATCTGTCCACTAATGTGAAGAAGCCGCAACCCTCGCAAACGCTTTTAACATAGGACATGTACTCTGAGTACTGACTTTCGGCAGCGTTGCATCGTCGATACTTGCTACCATCGAATTCGTAGGCGCAACATGGCAATAAGAAGAATCGGCACTCATAGGAACTGCGCGCAGCGATTACGGGAATCCACGGGGTGAGTTCGTCTGAATGATTCCCTATGATCCAGTCTACATTAGGAAAGACTGTATCTGAGGATGGAATGATTGTGCTGACCTACAATATCATATGATTATTGAAACAAAACGAAATTAAATCTGATAAAAATTAATATTAATATTATTAAATTTATATCAGTCTATTTATCTGTCCTAATACGTATGAAATAAAGAGTATACTCATACGATCACAATAAATTCTTAACGAAGAAAGAACGCGAGCTTAATTATGGACTAACATAATTAAAATGAGATAAAATTACAATTGCATGATAAAATGAATATTAGTATTATTAAATTTATATCAGTATATAAATTGATCAATTTTTAATACTGAAATAAAAATATTATATCATAAGATCACAATAAATTGCTAATGAAGGGAAAATTAATTATGGGCTGACGTAATTAAAACAAAATTATATTAAATATAAAATAAATATTAGCATTATTAAATATTATGTCAGTCTATAAATTTGTGTTTTTATCAATTTCTAGTATATATGAAATAAAAATATTCATAAAATTACAAAAATTGTCAACAAAAGAGAAATGCAGGCTTTTAATTATGGACTGATATAATATCCAAGTTTATTCAAGTAGATAACGATTGCAAAAAATTTTTCACACACTTGTAAATGAGTGCTCTTTGGAAATAGGTCCCAGATCTTTCTTCTGCGTAAATCGATCCCTGTCCCTGTGTGACCTTCGCTAGACAAGATGTAGACGAGAAGGCCATTTCCGCAGCCGAGATCAACGAATGATTGCAACTCCTTTACTCCCTTTTCCAGTCTCTCCTTCTCCCAGAGTAATAAGAGGTAAGTAGCAATCGCGACATCCTCGTAAACGAACTTCGCCGGGTCGGTGTTTTCCGGCCACACGTTCACCATTCCCATGCCGTATTTCTCTTTCAGTCGATTGTATAACAAGGTATACTTCTCAACAGAGATGAGACTAAGGGAACTGATCCTCGGACCGACGTTATCGTTTTCATTGTTTATCCATTTTATCAATCGTGGAAAGAATTTAGACTTGAGCCAATCGCAGTTTCTGCTGTAATTATCATTCGATTTACATACGTTTATACATGTAGATGCATATTCATGATGCTGTATCCTGTAGGCTGTATTCAGACCCAGAGATTGTTTACCTAGGACAATCGGTTTGTGAAAACTGGTAACGCTAATCGATTTTTTATCAATAAATACGAATTCTAACGTAGGCGAGAATATTTGTGTGTTTCGAGGCAGTAATTTTTTCACGCATAGATAAATCTTATCGTTCACAGTCCCGATTGGATCAGTACAGTCTGCAGTACATTGAACTTGGCAATATTCCGCAATATCTAAAGTGTCTAATAAATATTTTACATCTCCTGAGGATGAGTCGCACTCAAAATCATCAGGTTGGATTTTCAGTCTTTCAACATGTTCGAAAATATCTAAAACGTCACGATTGAGTTGAACCGTTAATAGCTCTTGAGATGCTAGGATCCGACGATTAACAACATGAGGATTTCTCATCCAAATCCCAATGGCGTTCCAGAACTGTGAGTTACTACTGTTAGTGGTCTCACTAACAACCTCTTCAAAATTCATTTTTTTCTATCTAATACTAATTTACCACATATGTTTCGTGTAGATTACAACTTATGTCGATTTATCATTTGGGCGTTGGAGTACCACCTGGCTGGTTGTACTGTCATAAAAAAAAAGCCAGAAGTTATTACTAATATTCAGATACCGAGTTTAATACAAGTAAATGAGAAGAATACCTTTTGTATCACCCATTTGGCATCTAGTAGTGCTTTTTCCATGATTTGCTGAATGCGTTCTTCATCGGACTCCGAGACATGCTGCTTGAAGCTCTGAGAAAAAATTTTGTCTTTAATAACGAAAGTTTATCTTATTAATAGACAATCTGCTACAAGAGATCTAGTTTTCTTGCAAAAATTGTAATAATTGTTAAGAAATTTAATAGTTTAACATTCTTTAACTTTCTTGTTAAATTATCATTATATCAGAAAATCATTTTATACTTACTTGCTTGACCGAATGCTTGTAAAATTGCTGCGTGTGTTTCGGTAGTTTTTCGCATTCACGCAATAGATATTTATACAACTGTTTAGATGTGTTTATCGTCGCGCTGCCAACCATTCGGTTCGCCATCGTTTCTCGGAGATCGCGAGGCGCACGTGGAGTCATAAGTTTCTCTCTCCTTTACATTTATTATTACTATTACTCGATATACCGTGTATTGATAGTAAGAGTCTCATGGAATATATACCCACTATTGATAAAATAGAAAGCAAAGATTTCTCTTGTTCAAAGCCAATTTGTACTAATACATAACTTAAGCAAATTAATAATTTTTATATTACTTTTTGTTGACGATACAAAGTTGTAGTATTAATTAAAAAATAAATACTAATCAGTAAAAATATTAAAGCAAAGATTTCTCGTTTAAAATAATTAAATCTGTGCCAACAGATAATATCTTATATGACAAATTATGACTTTGTATCGTCTTTTGTTAATAATACAAGATTGCAGTATTAATTTAAAAAAAATATTAATCAGTGAAAATAAAATAAGATATAAAAATTAAATTTTTGTGAAATACAGAAAAATTAGAGGCAAGGCTATAAGAAATGTTATCTATACTCTTAATCATAACGCACATCGTGTCAAGAAGAATGATTGGCACATTTTTAATTTTTTAATATCTTATCTAATAGCGATACAATTACTTGGTTCTTATTTTTCTATGTTTTAACGATATGAATAGAGTTGTGTCCCAATCACAATATTTCCTGACAAACTGAATCATAAAATAACACACACAAAAGCCATTCTCATTGTTCGATGATGAATAAATACTTATATACAATTTATTTTTGATGATGTCATGTGATGGAGATGAAATGTTACAGCAGATTGAGACTACGATACTGTGCAGAGTCTTTGAATCTTTTCTGCAGTCTTAGGATGTTATTGCATTTGTGCGTTTTTGTCGTATAACAAATGTGTATAGAACAGAGAGATCCTTGGATTTCTCTATCCCAGCCAATCAACAGGCTTGAAAAATTTGTTGTACGCACAAATGAAATATCACTCTTATTCATACAATTCCATATGCAACACACAATAGAATAACCAGTAGAAAGTTTCAAGTAAGATCACAGCAATCTTCCTAGCAATCTCGAATACGTTCGTTATTCGTCGAATATGTACTCGCGTTTATCTTTCTCATTGTATTTGATATTCTTTTATACGGTTGATATCGCTCATACAAACGTTACTACATCACATGCGCTTATATAAAAAAATCGTATTTTACGAAATATCATTGTTCCATTATTAGAACTTAAAACACTTATATACTATATATAAATTCTATATGTGATGTCACGATCATATCGTTGATCTGCAAAAAGTGTTCGGTTAAAGCTATCGTTATTCTCTAAAATACCGATATATAAAGATATTAAAAAATAAATATATATATTTATATATATACGAGAGGTTGCAACAAGTAAAAAATATACAATTGTTATATGCTATGGTGGTCGCAATAAAAGCCACCTAATATCCTTGATGGGGGAAGGGAAAAAATGGGAAAAAACCGATCTTTACCGTGACGAAACAAGGATATTACGTACACGAAAAATCACAACCAACGAGTAGCCAATTATTATGCTAGTAACAAAAATAATGATTAATACGATTAATATTACAATAAATTATGCCGTGCGGCTTCAGGAATTTTACGAAGGTGACACTCGCTTGCTCCGTCTGTCGGAATTGTTAATTTGATTAACGTTTACTCTCTACGAAGTCATTCATATATTTGTAAACTGTACCGCAATATTTTCGAACAACCCTTGATTACGGATCTTTTTTTTCTTTCGAATTAGGCATCGTTATTTCTGACGACTTTACTAACTAATATCGTATTTTGGCATTTTGTTCTGGCAGTTTGTTAGTTCGCGAAATGCGTGAAAAATGTATTTAAGACACATATAAAATTGCGTGTTAAATGATGCATGGAAATGAGTGAACTATATTATGCATCACGTGTAACTACAGGGTTGCTCTCGACTCTCACTCACGCGAGTATCTATTAATAATCGTCTTGTCTAAAATCTAAATAACAAAGTAATAGCTGCCCTATTTTTATATAATCCTCAACCAACGCTAGCTACCAAGTATGCCGTGCTGAGGGATGATGATTCTGACAGAAAGGAGGGCGACCGCCTATGATCACAGAGGGATTCTAAAGAAGTATAGAGTCCTATCACTTAAAGTAAGGATTGTTTAAGTCTCGCTCGAAGACGGCCGTTCCCAGCAACACAACCATCTACGCCACAACGGAGGCGGCTTCCTACGCCGGTATAGTAAATTGGCGCCTCCGCGTCGCGTATTGAGGGCACTGACTATCGCCTGATCGAAGGCCTCCTTGAGGTCGTGTTGCGTTAATGCAGACGTCTCTACATAATTGACGGCGCCTAGTCTGTGCGCCAATTGATGCCCCTGAATAGTAGTAATCGCTGATTGCCCATATCGCGCCAGTTGCAGCATTAAACGCACGTCCGATCTTAAGTCGCTTTTTGTCCCCACCTAAAAAATTGTAACATCAATAATTTATATTATATACATGTATATATATATATATATATAT